TTTGATCTGTTTTACTGTTCTTATTATTGTAGAGTTTGGGGGTTCGTGGGGAAGCAGCCCATGCCCAGATAAGGGACTGGGAGGATAATGACAAATATGTACTTGGCTTTGAAATAGGGAGTGGAGAGCCACTTTATAGAGGAGCTCAGGAAACACCTATGACTTACTGACATAACATATGTTACACTTTCTGAGCTTGACAGCTGTGAGGCTACAGTGTAGACTCAGGCAGTCTGGATAGGCATCCCTTCCTGGAGCTACTACTCTTGCTGCTTTGAGTAAATGAATGAACACCAGGGATAGCTGTTGATGGCCTTTGGCAATCTGAGACTCAGAGAGCACTTGACTTTCTCCTAGGTCTTTACTAGCTATCTTGCTGGGAAATGCCCAAAGTCAAAAGAAGCCGGAAAGCGCCTCCAGATGGCTGGGAGCTGATCGAACCGACACTGGATGAATTAGATCAAAAGATGAGAGAAGGTGAGTGGGGTGCTCCTGCCTGGGTAGGCTGGATGAAGTGTCGAGGCTCAGGTGCCTCCAAGGATAGAGAAACACTATGAGGAGAGAGTTGTTGCAATCTGGTCAAGTTTTCTTGTTTACTTATCAACTCAGAATGCTTGAAAGTCCTGAAAATTAAGATAACATCAATGAAAATATTGTCCCTCTCCAAAAAAAAACAATGTGTTTCCTTTCCTTTTTTTTTCTTTATTTTATTTTATTTTATTTGAGACGGGGTTTCTCTGTGACTTTGGAGGCAGTCTTGGAACTAGCTCTTGTAGACCATGCTGGTCTCGAACTCACAGAGATCCGCCTGCCTCTGCCTCCTGAATGCTGGGATTAAAGGTGTGCAACAGCAATGCCTGGCATTATGAAGTATTTTTATTCATGCTTTGTTTTTACCCCCCCTCCCCTTTTTGAGACTCTGTAGCTTTGACTGGCCTGGAACTCTCCTACATATTCATTCTTTTTACGGGTCTTTGAAAATCTCCTTTAGCCCTTGATCTTTGTACCATGTAGCAGTTTCTACAACACACCACCATAGTAATTTTGTACTTTGGGCATCCTGGCAATTACCTTGTCTTTGGAAATTTTATCTGAAGCATATGCTAGCCTTTGGTGAGCACAGTATGTCCTAGTTTGATTGTTGTTACTGTGATAAAACACTCTGACCAAAAGTAACAGAGGTAAGGAAAGGTTTCATTTGGCTTGCAATCTCAGGTTACAGTCTATCATTGAGGAATGTCAAGGCAGAAACTAAAGCACATACTTCCACAGTCAAGAGCAGAGAACAGGGCTGGAGAGATAGCTCAGTGATTGAGCACTGGCTGCTCTTGCTGAGGACCCAGGTTCATTTCCCAATACCCACATATCTGCTCACAACTGTTTATAACTCCAGGTCCAGGAGATCCAACACCTCTTCTGACATCCATGGGTATCAGGTACACATATAGTGCACAAATAAATGCAGACAAAACACTCATACACATAATCTAAGAAACTTAAAAAAACATGATAAATGAACACCTGCTGCTTGCTCATTACAGATGTTCAACTAGCTTCCTTCACTCTTACATCGTTCAGGCTAAACACATGCTCACACACACACAGAACAGAGCCCCTATTCAGAGTAGGTCTTCTATCTCAGTTAGGCCAATTTGATCTAGCTCATTCCTCAAATGAGGTGAATCTAAGTCCTGGCAAAGTGATAATTAAAAGCCATCCTGTGGCATTACTACTTGAATTGTTATTTATGTGTGTGTGGCATGAGAATGGTATATACACAAACATAGAGGTTAGAGGACAACTTACAGGAATCAGATTTATTTATTTATTTATTTTAAGGTTTTTTTTGAGACAGGGTTTCTCTGTGTGTAGCTTTGGAGCCTATCCTGGCACTCGCTCTGGAGACCAGGCTGGCCTTGGACTAACAGAGATCTGCCTGCCTCTGCCTCCTGAGTGCTGGGATTAAAGGTGTGTGCCACCAACGCCCGGCTCACATTTATTTTTATGAGTGTTTGTGCCTGGTGTTTGTAAAGGCCAAAAGAGGGACATTGGATCCCTGGAACTGGAGTTACAGTTATGATATGAGCTGCCACCTAGGTGCTGGGAATAGAACCTGGGTCCTCTGCAAAAGTAGCCAGTGCTCTTAACCACTGAGCTATCTCTCCAGCCCCTCCACCCCCCTTGAATTGCTATTTAAAACAATCTTTGAAATGTCTGTTTATACCAGGCAGTGGTGCACACCTTTAATCCCAGCACTTGGGAGGCAGAGGCAGGTGGATCTCTGTGAGTTTGAGACCAGCCTGGTCTACAAGAGCTAGTTCCAGGACAGCCTCCAAAGCCGCAGGGAAACCCTGTCTTAAAAAACGGAAAAAAAAAGCTTGTTTATAGCTAATCTGATCATTGCTATTATGAGATCAGACCTGCAGCCACCATTAACTTTGCTTTCTTTTCACAACTGGTTGTGCCAGTTTCTGTTAAATACCCAGAACTTGTAGTAGTCATGGTTGCTATGAGTCAAGAGATTTCTTGACACAACTCTGTGAAAGTAAATTAGAGTGTGGATGAAGAGAGTCTATTTTTCAGCTCTCTTTGACGTGTATCCTAAACTCATGGTAACTAACTTCTTGGGAATTGCCAGACATTTCCACATTTTAGTGCTTTCTGCTAGAAAGGCTTGAGGATTCCAGTTTGTCTACTCTTGTGATTGTCCATTGTTTCATTACTATCCCCATGGGCATAAAATAATCATAACTGTAGTTAAGGAAGCAAACATGCTATATGCTATGCAGACTGACTATTTCCTAAAACACTTACATGCTTTTTCTCTCCAGCTGAAACTGAACCCCATGAGGGAAAGAGGAAAGTGGAATCTCTGTGGCCCATCTTCAGAATCCATCACCAGAAAACCCGATATATCTTCGACCTCTTTTACAAGAGGAAAGCCATAAGTAGAGGTGTGACTGGCTAAATACCTTGACCTTTAAAAAGCCAATGTTAATATGTTCACATACTTGTGGAAGCAGTCGTGTTCCAAGGCTTCCATGTGGAGGATGCGGGACAACCTTTAGGAGTTGATTCTCCTTTTGCTATGCGGGTCTAGAGGATTGAACTCAGGTCACTAGGTCTGTATAGAAAGCATTCTTAGCCCCTGAGCCATCTTGCTCACCCTTTTGACCTTTTATACCTGAGAGTTTTTCAGAATTTATAAGGTAGTTCATAAAAAGCTGGGTGTTACCATGCCTGTGGCACACACCTTTAATCCAGCATTTGGGAGGCAGAGGCAGGTGGTTGTCTGAATTCAAGGCTAGCCATTTCTACAAATCAAGTTCCAGGACAGCCAGGGGCTAACTGAGAAACCATCTTTTAAAAAAAAAATAAAAAAATAAAATAAAATAAAATGCTTAAAGAAAAAGCTGTGTTATGGTTCAGACCTATACTTTCAGTACTTGGGAAGCATAGGCAGGAAAACTGTTGGGAGTTCCAGGCAAGCCTTGACTGTAGTGTGAGATCCTGACAAAAAGAAAAACAAAAACAATGGTTCTTGTCTTTGCAAAGCCAGCAAGCATCAGTTTTTTTTTTACCACTGATGAAGAAATTGTGTTTGTGTGCTTTGGGGAAAAAAAAAAAAAAAAAAGCAAGGTTACACTAAGTAGCCCTGGCTGGCTTGGAACTTAAGTAGCCCAGACTGGCCTCAAACTAACAGTGCTGTCTACTTGATTCTGCCATACAATTCTTGGATTAAAGGCCTCTGCTTAGTTTTAGTCAAAACTCTCCTGGAACTTGATTGGTAGACCAGGCTGGCCTCAAACTCAGAAAAATCTTCCTGTCTGCCTCCCCAGTGCTGGGATCAAAAGCTTATGCCACCAAGCCCAGCTTAATTTTCCTTTTAGTCCAGGGTGAAGGCTGGTTTGTTGTGCCATGTTCTGATGCCTTGTCCCTGCCTTTCTGACAGAACTCTATGAATACTGCATTAAAGAAGGCTATGCAGACAAAAACCTGATTGCAAAGTGGAAAAAGCAGGGCTACGAGAATCTGTGCTGCCTACGCTGCATTCAGACTCGGGACACCAACTTTGGGACAAACTGCATTTGCCGAGTTCCGAAAAGCAAGCTAGAAGTGGTAATGTTTGATGGCTGAATGGGGAATTATTTTGTTAAGTTCTGCCTTAGTTGACTATAAGAGGTATTATTTTAGGAAGTATTTTTGTCACTGGAAGCCTGTTAGCTATCCCTCCCAAGAGTGAGTCCTTCTGATCAGAGATCCTTGCTAGGTGGAATCTGGTGGTCATTCCCAGATATGAGGCTGGTCTCAATACTATCTGTGGGTAAATAACTGGGCCAAACCTCTTCTTAAGGAATAGTAATGGCAGTAGCTCTGATGTGATGGGAAGGCTACATTGGGGTGGCCACCAGGCAACCTATCCCTTTCCCTCTAGTCTTAAGGTATTATTGATCTCTGCGTGTATTCTGTCAGAACTGTGTTTCAAAGCCAGGAGTGATGGCTCATGCCTTTGGGAGGTTGAGACCAGCTTGGGATAGTAATGAGATCATATTTCAAAATAATAAGTTTCAGGGCTAGGCACTTAGCAGTCATGTTGGTAGTGGCTGAGCTCTAGTCCCCAGACTCTTGAAATGGAACACCAGGACATCAGGCCAAATAAGCCATCCACTCAGCTTGACCTTTGTTTTCTCTCATTACATCAAAGCAAGACTTAATTCCCAGTTTTCATTTGGTGCAGACGGCCTAAACTCAATAGGCAGCTCTGTGCCAAGGATGGGCTCTGGTGTAGATGTGCCAAGCCATGGCTAGTGATTGGCTGCTTCCCAAGAGGGGGCTGTTGGTGTTCCAGCTCCTGGATTGTTGCTCAGTAGGTAGATGGCTGCCTAGTATGCCCCCATATAGAACAAGATGTGGTTATCCACATCTGTAGATAAGAGCTCAGCAGCTATTTGCAGGACTAGAAATTAAGGGTCATCCTTCATGAGACCCTGTCTCAAAGATTTAGCAGAGTTTTACCAGAGAACTTTATTTGCTTAAAATGAGTTCTTGGTCTCCAGAAAACAAAGTAAAGACAGCATTGCTCCAGTCCCACAGCCAGCCACTATGCCCTTGGTACAAGACTGTTCTGGCCACAGGAACTTAAAAGTGTACACCTACTGCTCCAGTGGCCTCAAGATGTGTCCCACCAGCACCCTGTACAGCAGGTCCCAGTAGGTATGTGCAGGGCTGTAGCAGTGTATGCAAATGTCCCCATCCTCTGTTACAGGGTCGCATCATTGAGTGCACGCATTGTGGCTGCCGGGGTTGCTCTGGCTGACACCCCTCTCTACATTCTGGACTTTGGACCTCGTTGGCTCCTGCCTTATTGGGCTACCCTCCTCCTGAAGGAGCTCTTCTCAGAGTGGTGCCTAGAGAAGAGACCCAGAGGGAGCATGGGCTCTACAGGTGAAGGCTTCACTAGCTGAAATCTGTAAAAATAAAACCTTTAGACCTCTTGGCTATATTCATTCTTTCAGACCAGCAGTTTCAATGTCATAGACACTTTCTCACCAGTGATGGAGAGGGCAACCTGGGATTGTTTGGGTCCTCTGGGTCCAGCATTTATCCTCACACCTGTGCCTGTAAAATGCTGCAGTGCCCCTAGAAAGGTGATAAGCAGTACTGTAAAAGCTGGGTACTTGTCATAGCAGCGCTCTCCATCACCTGTCCCTAAAGCCTCCACCGACACCGGCATTCCCAGTGTTGTCTTGGTTCCCCTTAGGCTTCGTCTGGAATTCCTGCCAGGGTTGGGGGGCTTCCTCTGCTGGCATCATTTTTAGCCACTGCTTGTAATAAGCTCGAAAGCCATCGATCTTCTCCAAGTAGGTGTTTTTCTCTTTGTACTGCAATTAGAAATGTACAGAACTATGTCAAAGTGAGTGACATACAGGAAGACAAAAGCTTCGCTATGAAACCCATCACTTTGTAATGAATCCAGACTATACTAAGAAAAGGAGGGAGTTGAGAAATGTTCTTAGCCAATCCAAACCACTCATGTCACTCAAAGCTAACCACCACAGCAGCTAACCCTTGCTCTTTCCTCAAAGAGGAAATGGACAGAGTAGAAAAATGGACATTAGATTCACTGCTGTTAAGAGCCAAGTTCTGTAAATCTGATGTATTTGGGGGCAGGACAGACTGCCTTTTGCATAACAGCCATCTATTCTAAGGGCACTGTAGTGCCCCTAAACTTGTGAAGGTCACCTCAGCCCCCACAGCTAGAACTGAGGTATCCCATCAACTCTGCCTATTTTGCTGAGCTGTTGCCCTCCTTCTGACCTATCACCTTGGACCACTGCAGCATCTCCTTATAGGGAGGAGAGATGTGATGAGTTTGAAAAAGCTGGCAGGGGGATACATGAGAAAACAGGCCAAACCAAAATAGAGAAAAAACTGTTTAAATGCAATATTAAAAGTTTGAATTTAAAAAGACTTAAGTTTGAGCTGGGCATGCCTTTAATCCCAGCACTTGGGAGGCAGAGGCAGGTAGATCTCTAAGTTTGAGGCCAGTTGGGTCTACAAAGCAAGTTCCAGGACATCCAAGGCTACACAGAGAAACCCTGTCTCAAAAATAATAAAATGATTAAGTGTGCAAAAAGAAAAAAAAAAAGTATGCCGAGGAAATTGCTCAGTAGTAAAGTGCTTGCATGATGACAAATTCACTCTAGTACCCATGCCTCGTGCTAGGGAGATGAACTCCAGTTTCAGTGAGACCCTGTCTGCATTAAGCAATGAGACCATCTACTGGTAAGATATCTACAACAGGGAATTGAAAAAATTCTAGGGGCTGCAGATATGGCTAGGCAGTTAAGAGCACTGGCTCTTCTCCTGAGGACCTGTGTTCTATACTCCATGAACCCACAACTCTAGTTCCAAGGGATCTGGCCTTCCTTGTGCATAGACACCCAAGGAAAAAAACCCATACTTTTTTTTTTTTAAGGTGGCCCACAGGTGCTCAGATATGCTTAAGCTTGGCACAGTCTGTTCCTGATGACCAAGTCATTCTTACCGGCCTTCAAAATGCCACTCAAGAACCACACATGGGAGCCTGAAGTGTGCTCTTACCCATTCACTGTCTCTTCCTTATCTGGTTTGTGTCTGGAAAGCCATAGTTATCACTCATGCTCCAGAAAGAGAGCACAGGGCCTGACTCAACAGAGCCCCAAGCCAAAGGTGTCTTTGAAGGGGGAGCATGTGCAGTGAGTAGCACTTGCGGTGCATGTGCCCACCCACTGAACAGTTAAGTACTGAGCACCAAACAACATGCAAGCATTGGGAAACCAGGTGAGCAAGGCAGTCTCCACCACTTTCTAAGCCTAGGTGGTTCGGTGAAGACAATAACTGTGTGTGAACATAGTAAACCATGGCATCACAAGACTATGTGGGGGAAGAGGAAGCATATCTGAGAAGTCTGCTACTTCGGCTGGACATGACAATAAACATCTGTAATCCCAGCACTTGCAAGATGGAGACAGAAGAATTAGTTCCCGAGACTGCCTCAAAGTAAAAAGTGGGCTGGAGAGATGGCTTAGTGGTTAAGAGCACACACTGTTCTTCCAGAGGACACCAGTTGAGTTCCCAGTATCCACACCAGGCAGCTCCAGGGGATTCAATGCAGCCCAGGGCCTTGGGATTCCCTTAGGGAAAGCTGCTGAACAACTTTCAGCAAGGAAATGAATGTCAAGCTCCCAAGGCTAAAATCACAGATGGCAGCAGTAAGATAATGGTGAGCACTGTAGAGCTGGCACACATACCCGGTCAAAGGTGGGAGGGTACTCAGCAGCAAACTCTAGCTGGCGGATGATTACTTCATTCACTGGGACACTGTTTTGCTTCATGTCCTTCAGGATCTCAATGAGATAGGCATAGTCCAGCTTCTTGAGGGCCGCATTGATGAGAGTGCTGTAGATGTGGGTGTTAGGGACCATCTGGGATTTCTAGAACATGGATGTCACATGGTCAGCAGGATGATGGTAGCTGGCAAGACAAAGCAGTCTGCTGTGCCAGGTCCATAGATGGATCTGCTCCAGACTAGGCACCAGGAACAAAAGGATCATACAACTGGCTGTCTAACCCTGTACAAAAGCAAGTAGACCCTATCACCTCAGCCCTGAAGAATTTGGGGGAGAAAGACTGCTACTTGGGGGTCAACAGATAGGAAATGAGATGTAAAATACCTCCTCACTCTTGGCTGCAGTTTACTGGTTAACAGTCTTGTCACCACAAGGTAGAGGTCAGCCTATAAAAGCCAGCAGTAGTAGTGAGGTAGAATGTGTAGACACAACTTGGTCCTTATAAGTGTCCACTGCTGGGGTTGGTTGGAATTGACTTAGCAAGCACTCGTGAGAACAAGCCAGGGCTGAAAACTATCCTTTGCCCCCAGAGCTTCTAGCCCACCTCTCTTCTGGACATAGCTCCCATCCCTCCATTAGAACCAACAGCACCTTCAAGATGGAAATACATTCTATTCTCTTGGCCAGTCAGTTTCTGCAGTGGCTTACAGAATCTACTTGTTCCCAGAGTGGGTCACGGCCATTCCTGCTCCTTACTCATTTGATCCTGTGGGGTCCCATTTTCCCCACAACTTTCTTCCTGAGAATCCCAGAGTTCTCCCAGAGCCATAAGCATCCTGTTTGGGCTTGACCTCTCACCTTCAGGTCTGCAAGCAGTTGCATACCATCTCTGGGCCTATGGCACCCAATGGCCAGGTTGCAGAAAGTCCGCAGATTGGGAACAATTCCCTTCTTTGCCAGTACTGGCAACAGTGCCTGTAGGATAGACATGTGGCTGTTACCTGAAAACCCACAACCCTGGCCAAATGTCCTGTTGAATCCCTCTGCTGGATGCTAGAGGCCTCTTGACTCCCTCAGCTGACTCTACAGCATTCTCCCTGGCTCAGCACTCAAGATTCCATGCCCCTTTGCCACAAATGCCCTTCATGTTTCTGCATTTCCTATCCTGTATCAAGCTACTTAGCTGCCCATCCCTGCACTGGGCCAAGGAACCAGGAACTCCTGATGCAGAGCAAGAATCAGTGCTGACCAGTATGGGAGTGCAGGCTGAGGGAGCCCCATGCCTGGTGTGAGAAAGAGGGTACCCTTCAGCCTGGGTAGGGCCTCGGAGAAGGACTGTATTCTTAGTTTGTCTGGAAGAAGGCATCCTCTGTCACCTCCAACCCTCACAGACACCCAGGGCACTGCTTCTGTCAGAGCATATCACATAAAAACTGTCTGCTGCCTGGCTTTCATCTTTGTGAGATGGGGAAAACCACACACAACCAGGCTGTGCCTGACCAAGAAAGCAGCAGATAGACCTGACCTTATTGACAGTGGAGTAAGTGCAGTGTCAGGAACATATATGAGGTGAGAACATTCTGGAGATGTACTGGGGTGCTTCATGGTAAGTCTTTCTTTTTGGGGGGATGCTGAGCCAGGGCCTCAATATACAGCCTTGGCTATTTTGGAATTCACTATGTAAACTGAACTAAAACTTGCCTCCCAAGTACACCATCATATCCAGCCCCTCTCTCCCTCCCCCCTTCAAGAAAAGGCCTCAAGAACTCCAGGCTGGCACTGAACTTTCAATTTGGCTATGCTAGATTGTTTTAGTAAACTTGATATAAGCTAGAGATATCTGAAAGGAGGGACTCTCAATTGAGAAACTACCTACATAAAATGGGATTGTAGGGCCATTATCTTAATTAGTGATTGATAGGGGAGGGCCCAGCCCATTGTAGGTGGTGCCATCCCTGGGCTGGTGGTCCTGGGTTCTATAAGAAAGCAGACTGAGAGCAGGGCGTTGGTGGCGCATGTCCTTAATCCCAGCACTCGGGAGTCAGAGGCAGGCGGATCTCTGTGAGTTCGAGACCAGCCTGGTCTACAAGAGCTAGTTCCAGGGCAGCCCCCAAAGCCCCAAAGAAACCCTGTCTCGAAAAACCAAAAAAAAAAAAAAAAGAAAAAAGCAGACTGAGCAGGCCATGACACAAAAGCAGCTCCCCTCCATGGCTTTTGCATCAGCTCCTGACTCCAGGTTCCCGTTAAGAGTTTCTGTCCTGACTTCCTTCAGTGGAAGCATAAGACAAACAAATCCCCCTCAAATTGCTTTTGGTCATGGTGTTTCATCATAGTAATAGTAACCCAAACTAAGACAGTGGCCAAGGACAACCTTAAATTCTTGATCCTCCATCCTCTAATCCCCAACCCCTGTAATTATAGGTGTGCATCAGTTTATGTAGTGCTGGGAACGGGTCCCAGAATCATATGTATGCTAGGCAAGCAAGGGTATCAGCTGAGCTACCCTCAGCCCCTCACAGTGATTTTTTTTATTTTGTTTTATTTTTAATGTGTATAGGTGTTCTGATTGCATTTATGTCTATGTACCACTTGAATGCTTAGTGCCCATGGAAGCCTGAAAAGGGTATCAGAGCCCCTGAAACTGGAGTTATAGATGATTGTGAGCTGCCACATAATAAGTGCTAGGAATCAAACCCAGGGCCTGTAGAACAGCCAGTGTTCTTAACCACTGAGGCCTCTCTCCAGTCCCAGTTTATGGTGATACTTAACCAGCTAAACAACTCTACAGCCCTGTTCCTGAGCACCTGCTTAACTTATGTACCCCTCCTCAGTGTAGTGACATATTGGGCCTCTTGGAACCAGGTATTCCCAGCATGTCAGCATGTCCCTTCTCCTTGAATGCCCTTTATACCCCTCCTCTTCATGGTAGGGCTGTGGTGCAGCTGGCTGCTTTGTGGCTCAATTCCTAGCTTCACATAAGGCCAAGCCTAGATGTGTCTGCTGACTGATAACCTAAGTCCTACAATCTGAGGTCAGAGGGGGAAGTCCCTAGAGGACAGCGCCTTACCTTTGCTCCCTCCAGGTCTCCCACCTTGCTCTTCTTCCTAATCAGCGTGTTGAAGAAGGTCACATCGGCCTCTACCTCATACTTGTCCAAGATGGTCAGCAGTGAGGACTCCGAGGGGCTCCCAGGTTCCACCACCTCAGCCAGCAGAGTGAGGGTTTTGATGTCCGGCTGGAGACCATGTTCTGCCATCTTGCCCAGGAACCCCTCCAGGCCCCCCATCAAGGCCAGCCTATCAGCAGGTGTGGCCACTGTCCCAAAGGAGACTACAGTTGGGGAGAGAGTCTCAAGACTCAGGATATTGACTTCCAGCTCTGACGGGGGAGGCTTCAGGGCCAGTTGGGTATGGGCTACTATGTGGCCAGGTTCTGCCTTAGTTTCTACCTCAGGCTGGGACCTTCTTGTTACCACAGTTTCAGGGAAGTCTGGAGGCCCCTCAAGTTCCTGAGACGGTTCCAGAAACAATTGCCTCTCCAATGCCTCCACATGTCTAAATGACACACCTTCCTTTGCCCTGGCCTGCACTTTCCTCCCTGTCTGAGGTCTGCCTGCTGGGGGCTGGAGCAGGATGGTCTCTCCCTGAGGCTTCAGGAGCAGCCTAGAGGCAACCTCTGGGTCCCCCAGACCACAGTCTCGAGCTGCCCCCAACAGGAGGTTATAGCCATGCTGAGTTGGTTTGATCCCCAGACTCAGCATCTGTCGCCACACCTGCAAGAGAAACAAATGTTAGCTATATGTTCCTGCCTCCTACATGCCTTCAGAGGAAGTAGGCAGTATGAATTAACAGACCAGCAAACTCACAAGGCGCAAGAAAGCTGGAGTAGCTCTGTGGTACAGCAACTGCCTCGAATGTATGAAGCCCTGCATTAAAACCCTAGCACTACAAAAAACCAAACCAAAACAAAACAAAAACTGCTGGGGATGTGATGTGACTTAGGGTGTAGAGACCTAGGTTCAGTCCCTGTGAAGCTAGCCTAGAGCCCTAGGTAGAAGGATCAAGAGATTAAAAAAAAAAAAAAAGCAGGGTGGGGGGAGGACTGGCAAGGTGCTGGCCACCAAACCTAATGACCCAAATTCAATCCCTAGAATCTACATGATAAAAGGAAAGAACAGCCCTCAGGTGGCGCACACCTTTAATCCCAGCACTCAGGAGACAGAGGCAGGTGGATCTCTGTGAGTTTGAGGCCAGCCTGGTCTACGGTGAGTTCCAGAACAGCCAGAACTACCCAGAGAAACCCTGTCTTGAGAAACAAAAACAAACAAACAGTCACAGCCCTTTTTTCTTTTTCGGTGTGTGGTGGTTGACTATTTTAAATACGTGTGTGTGTGTGTGTGTGTGTGTGTGTGTGTGTGTGTGTGTGTGTTGCTGTTGTATATGGGTATGTGTATCTGTATATAAGCAGAGGCCAGAGGCGAACATCGGGTGTTCTGTTGTTTCACTCTCTGCCTTACTTGCTGAGGTAGGGTCTCTCACTCAACCTGGAGCTAGGGTGGCAGCCAGCAAGACCCAGCAATCCTCATGTCACTCACCCCAAAGAGCTGGGGTCATAGAGCTCAGGTCCATAGCCATCTTTTTGCATGAGTTCTAGGGATTTGAACTTAGGTCCTCATGTGTTCATAGAACAAGTGCTCTTACCTATCAAGCCATCTCCCTAGCCCTAAATCCCAGCTCTTAGTGGGTGTGGGAATCTCAGGTAATAAATGTCTGTGAGCTTCCGTTTCCTCACCTACAAAAAGGGGCTAACAGTGCCTCGAAGAAGCAGTTCAGGGAGTATGCAACACAAATGGGCCGTTAGTATTGACAGGGTCATTCTGCGCTTTCTTCACATCATGCTACTGCTTCAAAATTCTTTGCAGAGGGGACAGAACCTTGTGGTCTTAGGTTGTTATTCTGCAAAGTTGTTGGGAAGCTTTCTGAAATGCATATCTGGACACAGGATATCTGGACAAGGCTGCTGCCAACCTGTGGTGGACAGTTAGACGGCAGAGCTTGTAATAACAAGACACAAAAGCATCCATGATAGCAACACCAATACCCACTCCCCATATAATGAGGGGGGTTACCTCTGGGGGATCTGGGATGGGATTAGAGTATATATCTCACTTTGGGACTAAGTATACATTCCTGGGTTACACCTGTAGAGATGCCAAGTAGAGAAAGAGTGAATGTACTGTAATGGTCAGGAACCCCCAAATTAGAGGGTCTGAGCAGGAGAGGTCTGGGCTGGCTCTGCCTTCACTAGTAGTGGGGCAGCATTTCTACAGGCCTCTTTTCCATGGTGTCCACAAAATGGAGGAAGAGGCCCTGTAGTGATTACCATAAAGGCCAGAAGATGGCAGATATAATAAAAACACCTGATACAATGGGCTGGAGAGAAGGCTCAGTGATTAAGAGTACTCCTTTTAGAGGACCTGAGTATGGTTCTCAGCATCCGCTTCAAATGGCTCACAACAGGCTATATAACTCCAGCTCCAGGTGACCCCTTTTTGGCCTCCTGCACATATACACATAATTTAAAAACAAGAGCCAAACAAAGCTATCCCTGGCATCAGGCAGAGCAGAAAGGCAAGACTGACCTGCACGGCTTGCCGGAAGCCTGCCTTCTTGTCCTGGATACAGCCCATGAGCAGGAAACAGAAGGTCTCCTCTGTGACTGCATGCCCCTTGTGGATGATTTCCTGGGGGAGAGGAGAAAGCAGTCTCCCTCAGAACCTACAGCAAGGCCCAGGCAGTGTCTGACCTAGTTCAGTACCAGGCCCAGGCATCTCTGGGGAACAGGTGCTTGGATGCAGCGTTGGGACCAGTTAGAAGAACCAGCTCGCCAGTGAAGCACCTAACCACTACCTTGCTACCTCCAGGCCTGTCATCCCAGCTCTGCTCCCAGAGTCTGCAGCATTGACAAAGCTGACCCCAGCAGCTGCTGTACTTGAGGCCCTGGAATCACAGGATTGGTTTCAAGACCCGCCACCACCAACAGCCAACTATGGGGCATGGGTAAGGACAGGCTCTGAGCTTCTCAGCCTCAGTTTCCTCATCTGTGCAAGAATGCACCTTCTAGGACATCTGAACAAGTGTTCAACCCTGTAAGATAGGTCTGTACAGGGTGAGTACAATCCCCACCAGCCTCTTCAGTGTCAAGCCGGGCAAGTCCTCCTAAAACACACTCCTACCTCTCAGAAACCCCTGTCCTTCCACTCTCACAGGGACTCCCTCTCCACCACCACCCTCTTGCTCTCCTGCCTATATACCCCACCACTGTCTGACTGAGGCCACAGAAAGTTAGGTCGTGTTGGAGTCATGGTGAATCCCAGCATAAAGCATAGGCTATCTCAGCTTTCCTGAGCATTCCAGGTGAAGGGAGACAGGTAATCTCTCTCTCTCACACTTGTCCCATGGGACTGGACCTGACTTTGAAGGGTAGGAAGAAGGGGAGTCCCCACCTTGAAGATATCAAGGCACATCCTGAGGTCTGCACATTTGGCGGCCATCTTCAGCAGGGCATGATATGTTTTCAGGTTGAGCTGCAGGTTTTTGGCCTGGAGCTGCTGTCGGAGCTTCAGGGCACTCTGCAGGGCAGAGTCCTTCCAGGGGGACTCCGCACAGACATTGAACAGAGCTGTGTACGTGGCGTCTGAGGGCTCCAAGTCTCTCTTCTTCATCTGTTGAGATGGGAGAAAACTGAAGGAGGTTCTAGGAGAGGCTGGATACAGGGATCACAGCCACTTTGAAGGACCTCAGAGAGGTCTGTTACCACATCCACCTATCACAGGAGCTAAGACTGACCCATGTGGCACCTCATATACAGTATCTAAACTCCTGACTCCACCTGAAGGACTGGGAAAATTGAGCCTGCACTCTTGGAAATGCCAACAAGAAACCAGCCTCCTGGGGCACTTGAAAGACTATTCCAGGGCTGGTATACTTATATCAGGTGCTTCTGATGGCTCTATCCTGAGGCCTGACCAGCTCATCCTGTCCTTGGGGCAGAGTGGGTCTGTTCTGGGAAAGGGGGACCAGTGCTCACTGAGAACTCATAAACCTGTGAACTCTCCTCAGAAACCAAGGATGAGATGATTAAGAAAGATTATCACAATGACTCATACACCTACAATGTCCTTCTAGAAGTGCAGTTTTGTCAGGTGTGTTGCCATCTTAGCACTCAGGAGGCAGAGGCAGGCATGAGTTAAAGACCATCCTGGTCTATAGAGTGAGTTCCAGTTCAGCCAAGGCTACAAAGTAAGACTCTGAACAATAAAACAAAACAAAACAAAAAAGAAGTGCAATTTCTCTGTTTGCTCTGACCTCAGACTGTGAGGACTTTGGTAGTGTACCAAATAAGAGGACTAGGGTTAGCAAGGGTCTGCTGGAGTAAGAACTCCCTTAGCTTCTGGCCCCAGGAGAGGATGGGTTGTCTCTTGTTTGAGTCTACAGTCTCTTTCTTGATTCATGAATGAAACAGAAACAGGGTTTGTGTGTGAGCAACTGTTGGGGTTTGTGGGAAGGAACAGACTAACCGGGCATGGTAGCAGAGAACTGAGGGGACATGTGGGTTCTTAGCAGCCCTGGCACACGACGATGCATGTCTCTGTCACCTCACTCGATTCCCCAAGAACTCAATTTGGATTCAATGTCAACAAGCCTATTTCATCTTGCCCACAATGATGTTATGCTCAGGATCTGCACCCAGCATGCACTTCAGAGCCTTTGACCCACACTCACGTCATTATAGAGCCTGAAGGCCTTCTTCAGGTAGCCGACGCGCCCACAGCCCCCAATCAGCACCGTATAGTTGCACTCCAGAGGCTGCAAGCGCTCCTCCTTCAGCATCTGCCTCTCAAACAGATCCAGGGCCTCTGCCAGCTAGGGAAAGAGCCAACAGGAGAGAGGGCTCAGGATGGTTTCAGAGACCTTTAGTAAGCCAGGGAGAGTGGGGCATACATTTGGCAAGAGGATCAAAGCTATTCTAGGCTACACAGCATGTTTCAGAACAGCCTGGAACTTGTAAAATATTGTATCAAAACAAACGAAAACCCCAACAAAAATAAAAGGCCCCCAGCAGAGGGTGGGAGGCAGAGGGACCTTTCTGACATGACACATAACAACAGCTCCCTCCAACTGAAGCTTCTGCCCAATACGGCCTTTGCCCCATCTCTAATTTCCTTTTATTGCCAGGTGTGGTGGCACACAAAATAAGCTGGTTATAGTGGCATATGCTGGATAATCCCAGCACTCAAGAAGCTGAGGCAGGAAGATTACAGGGTTTAAGGCTACCTGAGCTACATAGTGAGTACCAGTCAGCCAGGGTTACACAGCAAGACAGCCTTGAAAGAATGGTGCAACTATTAAAATAAGTTAGAGCTCTCCACAGTTTAGAGGTCAAGTTGTTAAAAGAACAAATCATGATCCAAGGAAATGTGATACAGTCAAAGAAGACCAGTGAGATTGCCATGTAGTGAGTTAAAGATAGCTAGGGGGCTAGCAATATGGCTAGCAGATAAAGGTGCCTGCAGTGTAAGCTTAGTGACCAGAATTCGATCCCTGGCCCCCACATAAAAGTGAAAAGGAAAAAGCAGCTCTACCAAGCTGTCCTCTGGCTTCTATCTGTGCACCATGGCACAAACATTCACACATGCACAAAAACACTAATAGAGATCCAAGGACTGAGCACTGAGCACCCCAACTCCAACACCCCAACTCCAACAACCGGGAAGGCTGCACTGCCCCACAAAGGCCAACCCTGAGGTTCCCCGACCTTTCCTTCCTTGATCAGATGTTTGCACTGAAAGAAGTACCAGTACGGAGTGTTCTTCCGGCCCTGCCACCGTTTGGGCTCCAATTCTTCCTCCTCATCACCCTGCTCCTTGAGCTGCAGGTTATACAGCTGGGCTGTGGACTTGTGGAACAGTCTCCGGGAGGAGTACTTATCAGAGAGGGTCCCAAAGCTCTCTTCATCATCGTCCTCGTCCTGAGAGGCCACAGTGCCGTGCTTACTGGAGTCAGAGCACAGGCTGCTCATGTTCTGGCTTCCTTGGCCCAGGGGCAGGTGGGAGGAAGAGGTGCACAAGGCTGCTGACACCTGCCAACGTGGCCATGCTGCTCTCAGCTGTGAAAGTCCCTCCTTGCCTCCTATCCATCCGTTAGAGCCAAGAAGATCCAAGTGTTGAAGGATAGACAGTCCTATGGGGTGGGGGCCAAAAAAGAGCCGGGAAAGTCTCATGAGGTCTATCACTGGCCTTTTTGTGCCACCACGGTCTGAAAAAAATCAAGAAAAATAAGTAAGTCACATCAGCCTCTGTGGAAAAGTTGGAAAAATGAGAGAAGTGTAATTACAAGGGTGGTTCTGAGTCAGGGAGGCTTGGCTGGGGGTGGGCAGTGGGAAATGGGCCATATTTATAATGTCTGCACTTGGTGGAACAGAATAAAAAAATCCCAGGTCATATCAACTTCAAGGCCAGAGTGGGCTTCTTAAGATCGTCTCAAAATAATAAAAAAGAGAGCCAGGTGTGGTGGCCTACGTGGTTAACCCCAGTACTCAAGAGGCAGAGGCAGGATTTCTATAAATTCAAGGTTAGCCTGATCTACATAATGAGTTCCAAGCTAGTCAGGACTACAGAGATACCTTTCTCAAAAACACAGTAACAAAGAGGGGCTGAGCCTGTGTCAGCAGATAAAGGAAGGTGCTTTCTGTCACGATTGATCCCTGAACCTATTTGGTAGAAGCTGTGATGTAAGCTCTGACCTGTACACAGGTGTGCTGTTTAATGCACATATGCACACATAAATAAGTCAATGTGTTAAAAAAAATTCGAAGGAATGCCAGGTGTTGGTGGAGCGCTCCAACACCTCTCTCTACCGAGAGAGTTCCAGGACAGGCTCCAAAGCAATACAGAGAAACCCTGTCTTGAAAAACAAAACAAAACAAAAATGCACAGGAGTTCAAAGTTAGCCTCTGCTACAAATAAGACCAAGCTATATGAGACCCTGTCTCAAAAAAACAAAAAAAAAAAAAAAAAAAAAAAAAAAAAAAAAGAGC